CCAAAGAAAATGTTGGTTGACTAAAGTCAGACATAATCTTCAACTAATCAATTAGTCATGGGGAAAAAAAAATCTGCACATTATTTTTACTTCTGCGGTGGTGTGTCTGTGTCACTCTGCAGTTACACCTCGAAAACACTAGTCGGCGGTGAAGGACTGTGTTAAGTGCTGTAAAGTTCAAATCAAATTTTATTTATATAGTTGATTCAAAACACACATTAAATATGGCTTAATAGAGACACTTTCAAACACGTACGCAAACTGGCTTCACTATCCACCTTATTTTTCATGGAAACACGGAGGCAAAACAGAACGCAGCCAACTTCCGTTTTTTTGTGCGACACTTCCGGTCCAGCACTCTTACCACTGTGTAAATGGGAATCCCCTTGTTGTTTACCTTGCTGAGTTTAGCTATATATATGTATATATCACATTTTTCACGTCACTACATCACCATTTAGACTAATCTGATGTTTGTAAAGTCTATAAACACAATGACTGAACAAACATTAGTATTTTCTCTGTGTGTAATTAATAACATGGTTATCGTAGATTAGCTGGGCTAACCGTTAGCTGTTAGCCATTAGCCGTGTCTGTAATAACTCACTAAACTCACAAAGTGGCCCGTGAAAAAAATATTTTCTCCAGTGGATGTCTTAGTTACAACATGATTGAGCTAATTGGAGTAGTTTCATGTCATATCCGACAACGGGAGGCTTTTAACGGATGACGATCCTGATGTTAGCTTTGCTGCTAGTGTTAACGTTAGCTGTCCCTGTCAGCTGCAGCCACTGATGCTTTCTAGACATCGTGATTTCCCAAAACTGAATAAATACCACACATAGCAACACAAAACTGCTTTGCTAGCTCAATCATGTTGTAACGGCCGGATGGTTGATGCGTACATGCTGATTCAGGTGCTATCAGAGCCGATCCGCGCATCACTATGCCTTAATGATCAACTCAGTCAATTAAAACAACCCGTCCTGTGTTAGGAGTGTATGTCGCTGACAGAAAGAAAGAAAGAAAGAAAAGGGAAAAAAGATAGAAAAGCAGCGTACACCTCACATATTTATTTCTCACAGTTTCGCACACGTGTGGCTGGCATGCAGAAGCACCGTCTGTGTGTCTGTGTGTCGAGGGTGCGAGCCGCAGCTTCAGCTGCTCAGGTAGAGAGGCTGTGTAGCCCGGTGTGTTTTTTTGCTGATTCGGTTCTGCAGGTTCTCTGCTGGTACACTGGAGACGGGGATCAAGCAGTTTGTCTCACTCGGGATAGATTGTGCTTTTTTGGTTCATAGTTTATGATTGACGTGCGATTTATTTGTGTTTAGAGGGAATAAATTTCCGTTATAACGGAAACGTGGGCACAGTTATCTAACGTTATACAAAATACACAGACTAACTAACTAACTAACTAACTGATTGAATAACATAAACAACTGAAAATTGAAAAAAAATTTGCTTGCACCGTTAGCTCCGGTAAGGGAAAGCATGAGGGAAAGCGGCTGACCGGAAGTCACGAAAAAACTTCCGTGTTTGAAAATAAGGTGGATAAATCACAGAACTCACAGACAAACACTTGTCTTTATCTGGACACATTTCCCCCACCAATACAACATGCTAACGTTGTTAGCACAAGTCTATGGCATTTTACATTGTATAAATTAGCCTAGCATCTAGCGATCTTTTCCTCTTCTCAAAACCAGGGACAACAGCAGCATATAACAAAGGTAACGGTACATAATTTGGCGCCATTACAACTCACAACATTCACCAACAAAACAACTAAAAACACGTTTACCAAGCAAATACAACATGCTAACCATATTAGCGCCAGCCTATGGCATTTTACATGGTATACATTAGCCTAGTGACGAGCGGAGATTACCTCTGCTCATAAGAAGCCAGGATAAATCCCTAAATCACACACACGAAATCTGCTACTGTCTTCACAATTTATTGTTTATTATCTGTGAAATACAAGTAAATACAAGCTCCACTTCCACTGAGGGAAATGGTGTCAGTATACAGAAAAAGACCGGATGTCTGCGACGAGGCTGAGCTTGAGGGTGGGCGAGTTTCAACTTTCTGTCAACAACCTTGGTGTTGACACCCCCATTTTCACAGGTAACTTAGCCTGTCCCTCCGCCGCAGGAAATAATGGATTAATCCTGGAAAGCTGTTGATATTGCACTTTTCTCCTTATGAAAGTAACACGGTGATTATTCGACCAATGAGAATTTGGTCGGACGAGAGCATAGCAACCAAATAATCGACTAGTCAACCAGGAGACTACAGCCCTACTTGAATGGGGTTAAAATGATGAACATTCATGTCACACAATCATGTGGCTCTTCTAGACTTTCTAAATGATACTGGAACAAATGGATTCAATTCTGATAGTGAAAAAAATCATTTTGCAGGGCTAGTGACCATAAAATGTAGAAATAATGGACGTAGCAACTGTGACATCACCATTGGTTTGTGGACTCCTGTATTAAAGCCTGGAGTTTGGCATTTCAGCTGTTGCATCTTGTTTTTTGTTTTTTGTTTTTGGAGCCAGAAGTGACCATATTTGAACAAGAGGCTGGAGCTGTGGTAGACTGAGGGGTGGATTGAGGACGCTGTCACTTACAGCAGCCTGTCTTTAATTATGCGTAACTTTAAGCCTTGATAAAATGTAAACGAGTGAGTTTAAAAAATTCACCTATTGTACAGTTGTTTCTGTCAGCTATCAAGACCTGCTGTAAACTTGAGCATTTTAACATGGGTGTCTATGGGAATTAAGTGGCCTTTGGAGCCTGAAATGGCCATTCAAAGAACTGCAGTTTCTGGGATTTTGGGATTGGCTTCATTCTTCAGCCAAGGAGGTTGCCACCTGGTTGTGATGCTTAAGAAAATGTTTCCCCTGATTTAGAGAAGTCTTTATTGTCATGTAAGTCAGTGGGAAAAAAGTCCTTTAGGGCCACATGGCATCACTGACATAGTTTGGCCACTATGACAATTGGCTTCAAATCCTGGAATACATCCTGGAGGCTTGGCTGCAGGCATCAAATTCAGAATGAGTGTATATTAACAAATAACAATTACATTTATCAGTTTGAACAGAGGCAGCATGGTGGTGCAGTGGTTAGCATTGTCACCTTACACCTCTCGGTTTGAACCCTAAGTTGGGGGAGCCCCAGTGCTTAATTTGTAAAATTAGAAGTAGGGGAACACTTTGGGCCTCTGAGAGAGCAGTGTTGAACACTTTTTTAAGCGGCACTCGAGCTGCCTCACTGCGCAACTCCGAATGGAATGGTTGTGACATCTAGTGTTGTCACTAGTGTTGTCATTTTGTACCAAAATTGGGACCCACGGTACGATACCAGTGAAAATATCACAGTTCTGAGTAGTATCATGATACCACAGCAAAAATGAGGCAGATGTGCCTTTTGTCATTTATAAAAAGATAAATCACTTTTCTATAATACATCACTGATATTTCAATGGAATAAATTACTTATTGACTTATTCATACTTCAAAAACAGCATCAATAAGTGATGAACATAGGGGGGATCAAAATAAAATAAATAAATAAATGAAATAAAAATCAACCAGCCACCCTCCTCCCCTGACAAGTAAAGAACAGTCCCTTCATAAGTAAAGAACAGTCCCTAAAGTGCGGTGAGGTTTGTGGACCGTTACCTGCCACAAAGAGAGAAATGTGAACCGCGATATTCCTGTCTGTGAGCCCCGTTCAACCCACAACCAGCAGGATTCGCCTTTCGTTTCTGCTGCTGGTTGAAATCTGTACTCACACAGCGTGCTGAATGATTTATTTTGCTCGCACAAAACTACTTTTTGTCACAAATGTGAGTAAAATGCTCGCACGTAGAGTTCTGTGGAAAACAAATCACTGCTGACAAGTAAAAATAAATAAATAACAACTTTCACTGTTCAAAGATACTCACATGTCTGGAAAACAAACCACTACAGCAGCATATTGAATGCCAGGTGGCCAGCGCGTGCCATTATTGACCAGCACGCACCGTTATTGGACGGCACATGGACACTCACCCTCTTGTGATTGGACTTTGAACTTATCCCACAGTAGTGGTATGTGAGGCATCGTAGTTCTACGGTACTCCACCCTGCAACACTAGTGACATCAACCAATACTGTATGTAGTTTTTAGTTGTGAAAAGTTCTAGACCCATGCAAATTAGTTATGGAACGCACCAGGGCCTTTTCTGAAAAGATCCTGGTATGCGTTCCAGTACGTTCCGGCTCAAATTAAGCACTGGGGAGCCCTTTTGTGCAGTATTTGCATGTTCTCCCTGTGTCAGCATGGGTTTTCACCGGGTACTCCAGCTTACTCCCACAATCCAAAGACATGCAGGTTAGGTTAATCAGTGACTCTAAATTGATCAAAGGTGTGAATGGTTGTCTGTCTCTGTGTGTCAGCTCTGTGATAGTCTAGAGGCCTGTCCAGGGATTCACAAAGCATTATGTTTTCATTTACGTTTTATACAATGTCCCAACTTGTTTGAAATTGGGTTTGTATATTTACATATTGTATCTTGAATCTCTTTGGCAAGAATGGGGCCTTTGAAAGTTTATTGTTGACATGATATGGGATTTCTGGGTGGGATTTTGCTGATTGGCTTGAGCCAGCCAGATACTAGCTCAAATTAGCTGGGATCAACATCTAATGTGATTGGATGGTGGGTCTGTCCAATGTAAAGTGACTGTGCTCGTGAGACATAAAACTCTAAGCTGTCTTGTAAACTCTACCATAGGTTGTAGTGAAAGCTCTTCGATTGAGCTCAGAGTTGTTTTTGTAAAATCTGATGATAACTGGTCATAGTTGGTTATGATTTACAATATTGTGAATGACCCTTTGCTCTGAGAATTCTTATTTGCATTTCTTGATATTTTGTTGAAAATGCCTTTGCATAACACTTCAATCAAAGTAACTGAATTTGTTATAGGTGGATTTGAAGCAACCAAAAGACCTATGGTAGTTGGTGTGGTTATATTGATAACCTATGTTCTAACTCTTCTAGCCAATGCTGTAAATATCCTGTTCATTATTTTTGACAGGAAATTACACAAACCAATGTATCTTCTGATTTGCAACCTTGCTGTTGTTGATATAGTGTACACCTCCAGTGCCAGTCCCACAATGATTGGGGTTCTACTTGCTGGGGTTAAGACTATATCCTATGTACCATGCTTAATTCAAATGTTTGTTTTCCACTGGGGTGGGGTGATGGAAATGTTTGCTTTAGCGGTTATGGCATTTGATCGATTGATTGCTGTTGGCTATCCCTTTCAGTACCACAGTTATTTAACAAATGTGCGCACTCTTGTCCTTACATGTGTCCTGTGGTTTGCTGCCTGTTGTTTTGTGGCTGTCATGCCTGCAACTGTGCTTCCTCTCCCTCACTGCCACACAAAGCTGAAGTACATTTTCTGTGATTATGCTGCTTTATTACGAACTTCTTGTGTTGATCCCACTTACTATTTCAATCTCGTTACCGTAATATTATTTTTTCTGTTATTTTTCACTTTCTCTTTAATCTTCCTGTCATACCTTTGGATGATAGTTTCTGTGAAATTATCCTCTGGTAATGACAAAAAGAAAATGGGCAGCACTTGTTTGAGTCACTTCATTGTGGTAACATTTTATTATTGTCCATTATTTATCCGCGTTGTCCTAACCAGGATAGGTGTGGTATTAACTCTTGAGGCTCGCCATGGCTTAATGATTGGGGCTATCCTCGGTCCATCTCTTTTAAATCCTTTGGTGTATTGTCTTAGGACAAAAGAAATCAAATGTAAGATCTTAAAGATATTCAAAAAAGATGAGACATTTCAATAGATTCTTATGAGCTGTGAATTTACTGTAAAAGTTGCATCCCTTATGGTCAAAGTATTATGCTAACATGATGAAATGTATTTATTCATGCATTTTTAAGATGTTGGTTAACTACTTTTATGTCAATAAACATATATAAATGTTTTTAGTGTATTTAAATTACCATTGGCATAACATGAGCTTTGTCTTATTTGCATACTACACGCTATTTTATTACTACACTGCAATAAATGTAGATCTTGGGTAATGCAGCTACAAAAGATGTATTTATCTTGAGATAGCCATTCTGTCTGTATTATTATAATGATATTTTTACATTAGTAGTATTCAACTTTTATAGTCAGTATGCAAGAAATTAATGTATTTTGCCTACTAAAAGGACATGTCCCAATGATGTAAATTGAAATACATCATTGGAAAACTACTGCCTGTTAAGCCTGATTGAAAGTTATGAAATGTTAAAAATGATGTAGCACACTACTATGAGAGAGATAGCACCAATATTACTATTGTCACCATAATTTGTCCTGTGTTGGTGTGTGAATTCTGTATGCCTCATTTATTCCCATAAACTTTCATTATTAATAAACTAGCATTATAGTACACAGTATAATGCCAGTCACAGGGGTACTTTTACTTTTGACACTTTAAGTACATTTTGCTAATTATACTTAGGCTACAAACTTAAGCAATATTTTCAGTACAGGACTTTTACATGTAATGTTGTATTTTTAATGCAAAACTGCAGTACTGCGACACATTTACTTCAATAAAGGATCTGAAGGGGCGTCGGTAGCATGTACAGAGCCACTGCCTCGCTACAGTGGCCGCGGGCTCGAATCCAGCTCACAGCCCTTTGCTGCATGTCAGTCCCCACTCTCTCTCTGTCTCCCCATTTCACCCACTGTTCTGTCATCAAAGGCAAAAAGTCCACAAAAAATAATCTTTAAAAAAAAAGTAAAGGATCTGAATACTTCCTTTTCCACTGCAGAACTGTTTTAAAATCTAATGAATGGCATCACTGCCTAATCATGTAGAAAAGCAGGAGATAATATTTAAAATAAAGACAAATGCTCTTTCTGTCACATGGAGAAAAACCAACACAAAAGTGCACAATAGTTATACATTACTGTTTATTTTTCATTTGCTTGAAGACATTTGCCATTCAGAAGTTCCATTTTCAAAACAGTTCACACATGCTGAAACTGAAAGCTGCCGGACAACATGACGCATCTTGTTTGCAGAAAGCTTAAACACTTACAGAACATTAAAAACATGACACAAATTCAAATATTTCTAGGGCTGCAGTCAATCAAAGAAAATCTTGGTCAACTATGGAGCTATATTTGTGTCTTTATTACATGCGAGAAAATAAATGATATGAGAGAAAAAAAATGTTTGAGAGTGTTCACACTGATAGCAAAAAATAATAATATTTGAGACTAAAAAAAGTTTTGAGAGAAAGTATTTTGTCACTGAATATAAAAAAAATAATTTGAGATTTAAAAAATGATTTCCGAGAAAAAAAACCCTCAAAAACCTCTTTTTTTTACTCTCAAATATTATTTTTTTGCTATCAGTGTAAAAACATTTTCTCTCTCAAAAAAATGTTTCTCTCAAAACATTTTTCTTCTCTCTCTCAAAAGTCTTTGCTCTCGTGTCCCTCTCCTCTCCATTTGGCCACACATGCATAACATTAATGTATGCATATCCGCTCCCAAATAACGCAGCGCATCTATGCTGGTGAATCCACCATGGTGGATGAATGATTCAGTTGAATTCGACTCCCAAGACGATCATCACCTAGCTGTCAATTTGATTGAGACTGGCCGATAGGAACGTGGCCCCGCCCATGACATTATTTTCACAGCGAAAGCAAAATCCTGACACCAGAGCACACTGATAGCAAAAAATAATATTTGAGAGTAAAAAAAAGTTTTTTGGGAGAGTTTTTTTTTCTCGGAAATCATTTTTTAAATTAAATTTTAAATTTAAATTATTTTTTTTATATTCTATGACAAAATACTTTCTCTCAAAACTTTTTTTAGTCTCAGATATTATTTTTTTGCTATCAGTGTGAAAACTTTTTCTCTCAAATATTTTTTTTTCTCTGAAACTTTTTTTTTCTCTCATATCATTTATTTTCTCGCATGTAATAAAGACACAAATATAGCTCCATAAAGTCGCAATATCAGTGCTTAATTTGAGCCGGAACGTTCTGACGCATACCAGGATCTTTTCAGAAAAGGCCCTGGTGCGTTCCGGAACTAATTTGCATGGGTCTAGAACTTTTCACATCTAAAAACTACATACAGTATTGGCTGATGTCACTAGTGTTGCAAGGTGGAGTACCGTAGTACTACGATGCCTCACGTACCACTACTGTGGGATAAGTTCAAAGTCCGATCGCAAGAAGGTGAGTGTCCATGTGCCGTCCAATAATGGCGTGCGCTGGTCAATAACGCTCAATATGCTGCTGTAGTGGTTTGTTTTCCAGACGTGAGTATCTTTGAACAGTGAAAGTTATTATTTATTTCTTTTTACTTGTCGGCAGTGATTTGTTTTCCACAGAACTCTACGTGCGAGCATTTTACTCACATTTGCGACTAAAAATAGTTTTGTGCAAGCAAAATAAATCATTCAGCACGCTGTGCGAGTACAGATTTCAACCAGCAGCAGAAACAAAAGTCGAATCCTGCTGGTTGTGGGTTGAACGGGGCTCACAAACAGGAATACGGCAGTCAAATAGCCTACGCCGGCTCCGCGGCGCAAGATAACGGCTTACCGGCGACAGAGAAGTCCGACTCCAGGTCCAGTAGCCTAATTTCCTCTTTCACTGGCGTCATGACTGCCCAGTAGTACCTGGACAACCAAGCCGTGGCGGCACACAGGTATGTGACGTGTCAGAGGAGAAATGAGCCGTTCACATTTCTCTCTTTGTGGCAGGTAACGGCCCACAAACCTCACCGCACTTAGGGACTGTTCTTTACTTCTGAAGGGACTGTTCAGGGGACTGTACAGGGGAGGAGGGTGGCTGGTTGATTTTTATTTTATTTATTTATTTTATTTTGATCCCCCCTATGTTAATCACTCATTGATGCTGTTTTTGAATTACGAATAAGTCATTAAGTAATTTATTCCATTGAAATATCATTGATGTATTATAGAAAAGCGATTTATCTTTTTATAAGTGACAAAAGGCACATCTGCCTCATTTTTGCTGTGGTATCGTGATACTACTCAGAACTGTGATACTTTCACTGGTATCGTACCGTGGGTCCCAATTTTGGTACCGTGACAACACTAGATGTCGCAACCATTCCATTCGGAGTTGCGCAGTGAGGCGGCTTGGGTGCCACTTAAAAAAGTGGGAGTGGGGGAACACTGCTCTCTCAGAGGCCCAAAGTGTTCCCCTACTTCTAATTTTACAAATTAAGCACTGCACATAATCTTCAACTAATCGATTAGTCGTGGGAAAAAAAATCTGCACGTTAGTTTTAATTCTGTGGTGGTGTGTCTGTCCCTCTGCAGTTACACCTCCATAACACTAGTCAGCGGTGGAGGACTGTGTTAAGTCAAAGACGGTGGATAAACCAAGATGGTCCACTGCGGGTCAGTCTCCTGTATCAGTGTCACGTGGGGTTCGTGACAGAGCATGTGAGCGGAGCGGGTGAAAATTTCCGCTCCTCGCTCGCAGACCTGTCACTTTGCGCCGCTCGTCTGCTCCGCTTGGTTCTGCGCATTCTTTGCTCCGCTCCGCTCCATCATAAATTTTATCCCACTCCACTCGCTCACCACTCCGCTCAAAACAATTGCGTCGTACTACCCTAACCTGTAATCTTCTATTCACAAATAAAACGGGGTCTGCCCATTTTTCCGACAGCCCATTGGTCCAACATCCCGTTGTTCTGACCATATTAAACCCATTGTTCATGATGCCCTGTGGTTAAGGTCTGGTTAGGTTTAGGCACAAAAACCACTTGGTTAGTGTTGGACTAAGAGTCTCATCCTACTCTCCAATGTGCTATGTGTGAGCTCAGTCCTGCGTGTTCTTTAATGAAGCAATAGGAGAAGATATTCGGTCTCAGTTAATGTAGTTTATTAAGCAGTAAAGGAATAAAATTACAGAGCTCTGGGTCTCAACTTCACGTCCCTGACGAACAACAAAGGTGTGTCAGTTCACGAAGTCTGACCTCCTGTCCTTTCCCTGACCCAGTATATTTGAGCGTAACAGAGTGTCATTGTGCACGCAAGGCGTTGTCCTCTTCT